GATTACCAAATTTACTGAATTAATTGTAAAAAGGGAACATAATAACGTTCTGCATGCGGGAGTTGCAGCAAACTTTAGCCAAACTAAGACAGAAATTTTGGATTCCTAAAGGCCGTCAGTTGGTAAAAGAAAGTCTTAGGGAACTGTTTAATTTGTCGGAAATACGCAGTAAAACCAGCGAAACAAATGACAGCTCAGTTACCTAAAGATCGAATTGTTGAAACTCCACCTTTCTATGTTACAGGCGTGGATTTCACAGGTCCAGTTTACATCAGGTCTGGAAACGACATTCAGAAATCATACATCGTATTGTTTACGTGCGCTGTTACACGAGCGTTACATCTAGAACTCATTTCCAATATGTCTGCAAACAAATTCATTTTGGCTCTCAGACGTTTCATTTCGAGAAGAGGAAACTGTCGCACCTTTTTATTCAGATAACGCGAAAACTTTCAAATATGCTGCCAAAGATTTACAGTATTTTTACAGCATAATTAAAGGTACAGAGTTTCAAAATTTTCTAGCAAATGAAGGCTTGACTTGGAAATTTATCGTCGAGCTTGCTCCATGGTGGGGAGCTTTTTATGAACGCCTTATGAAAACCATAAAGGAACCATTGAAAAAGATATTAGGCAGAGCTCAATTGAATTTTGAAGAATTTATGACTGTGTTGACAGAGGTTGAAAATATTGTGAATAGACGTCCTTTGACCTACGTTTACAACGATTTACATGAACCTGAACCGCTTGCACCGGCTGATTTTCTATTGATCGGACATAAGGATGAATATCCATACAACTTTGCTGAGATCCTGAATAACTCTCCAACAAGAAAGAGTCTAATAAAACGAAAAGAATATCAGACAACACTTATAAAACAGTTCTGGAAAAAAATGGAAAAATCAGTATCTTCTTGAGTTAAGAAATGCTCACTTCTTCGGTACACCAGAAGCCAAGAAAAATCTTAAAATTGGTGATATAGTTTTACTTGAAGGAACAACTAAATCTAAGTTCCTCTGGGATTTAGGTCGAGTAATTCAAGTCTTCAAAGGACGTGATGGTCTTGTACGATCATGTGTGGTAAAAACTAAAAAAGGGGACCTTAAGAGACCTGTACAATTGATTTACCCCCTTGAACTATCAGACTGAAAATGAACTAATTTTGTAACCTTTTAATTTTACTTTCTTGTATTTCATATGCTCACTAACATTAATTTTAGATAATTAGTTTAGTTATTACTAATAATTTACTGTTTGTAATTTGAATTAATATTTACGTATTGAGTAACATTTGAGTTGATGCAGTTGTTAACTATATTTGTTTATTTTATAGAATTTCCTTTTTTGCAGTTTATATTTACATCAGTTGAATGTATTTGATATGTAAGTTGCTTTCTTATATTTTATTATTTGTATGCTGAAATAGTGATAATTTTTGCAGAAATTATCAGGTGGGGAGTGTGGAAAAATCCCCCAAATGATTTATGTATCGCCGTTAGAGGGCGCTTCGCTTCTGAAAAGGAATGTTAGTTTTTAGTTTGCGACGTAGTTAGTTAGCAGTGAACCTTCGATGCAATCAAAGTTGCTTTGTAAATAAAATGATTATTTTTGTAGATTGTTGAAGTATTTCACTTCATTTAGAATTAGAACCACCTTTCGCAATAAATAGTTCAGTATCAGCTGAAGTTTTTTAACCTGAAATCTTTAATTGCCTTATACCATGGCGATTTTTAAATTTGGTTACCAACTAGTTCAATATGTGCACTCAGTTTTTAAGTTCATTTCTTAATGAAATATTTTGCTTTGAGCCATTAGCATTGGACCCTTGAATGGCACGCTCTAGCTACGTTGTCTGACCCATTCAATTATCACTCTGTCATGATCGTCACTTTTAGCATAATAAGTAATTTTTCTGTTATTTCTTGCGAGTGGGGTATCGGAATCCACAAAATATTCAAAAAGTTTCTTTTTCTGCTATGTCATATACAGTTAACTTTCCAATGCCATACTCCTCGCATAATTTTGAGACGAATATACCTTTATGCATTTTTTTTTCAGCAATTCCACTTTTTTTTAAATGAACATCGAAATATGCTTTCTCTTTGTAAATTCTATTGAAGCTACGGCAATAGAAACTCTTTTCAACACAATCAAAAGTTCAAACTTTAATTTTCGTAAAACTGCTGTAATAATCACAGCATGCAAAAAATAATAAGCTACATAAAATCAGAACGTTAAGGAACCAACGCAATATGCTATATTAACTGAAATTCCTTGGAATCAGTAAAGCATAATTTTAGCCTAGCTCTATAGCGTATGGTATACATTATTGGCTATGTATCATGAGACTAGCAACGAAAGACAAGTTGTTCCGCTAAATTTTGTCTTGCTTCTATCGCACACTGAGACAATTAAGCCGGAATTGTATTAGTTATTATATTTACTGTAGTTTCTTGCACATGTCTAAGGCTTATCTGAGTCCTGAGTAAATAAATTCCCACATATACCTAAGATGTATTCAGGGCCGGCGCTAGATATGTCAGTATCAGTCTTTGCGGGTCCTAAATTCTTCTACCAAGCGCCTACGTTCTGAATTTTTGAAGCCCCTAAATTTTGGGTCCCAGTGCTTTCCCTAAATTCTAAAAATTTTGTTGCTCGGTGCTTCTCTATATTAAAAAAAAAAAAAAAAAAAAAAAATAGTGTCTTTCCTAAACTCTGACGTCCTGTGCGGTCATACGGAGCTGTGAGCGGTTCTGGTTTTATGTGAATAAAAATCAGTTATTCTTAATTCAAATAAGACTAAATGTAATCTTTTGGCCTATGAGTATCATTAACAAAATCTAATCATTTAGCATATGGAAAGAAATTTTTGTTAAATGTGTTTTCGTCAACATTTCTTAGCGCATTTAACTTAGCTTAATTTAATCTGCAATCATTGCCAAGCGTAATGTCAACATAAAAAGCTACCATACTCTTTGTTATTCAATTACTAATATAAGTAAAAAAAAAAAAAATGTTTAGACATCGCTGCATGAGTCATTACTCAAGCTTTCATGTGTTGATAAACATGCTGTGATGAAAACAAAATATATAATGATTCGCCAGGTTGGCGTCAGGGATATGAAATATTAGTATGTGTAAAATCAACGACGTTTCTATGTAGAATGTTTCGGTTTTGAGATCAAGCAAATACGCAGCTACGGAGCGAGCCAAATTATTGATCATACAAATTTATGCTAAAATGATTGTTTCTTTAATAACGAGGTATTTTATTTAGTGCCGAAGTGAAATTAAGAATCGGGCTCTCCACATTAATTATTATGAGGGGGGAAGTCAAATGGGCTTGCGTAAAGCATACAAAAACAATTTTCTAAAAAAAAAGTTTATCGGTGGCTTTGAGGTCCGTATTTTAGAATATTCCGGATATTGGACGTCCGGATCTCGGAGTATCACAAAATACGATCAGTAGTTACACTTCAAACTACAAAGAACGCTTAACACCACGCAATGCAAAGCACATCTAAACAGTTATCTCAATATTCCAAATTCACCTCTGAACTAACTACTACTACTAAACTCATGCTCCCTCCAGTCTTAGATAGTTCTTCACAGCTGCCGCGAAATCTCTAGTACTTCTCAAAATTACTGGAAGGCATATGAGAGCCGATAACGGTTACAGGTACATGCAGCATCAGTTACAGTTATTCAATTGCAAAATACTCATTACAGTTATACAGGGACCGAATCAAAATGTTGCCAAGTTTGGCTAATTTTGGTGATTTCTTGCCAAATTTGGAGACAATAATTAGTCGTTAAAACCGCCGCCAGCTTGGCAATATCTCGTCAATTTAGCAATTTACTCAATTTTAAATAGACTTGCCCCTGTATTCTTACTTTTTCGGCAAAGCATCGCATTTTCAGACTTTCTTATTGCATTAAACAAACAAACAAAACAACAACAACAACAACAACAAAAAAAAACAAAAAAAAAAAAAAAAAAAAAAAAAAAAACCCGCATGTAATTTTACTAAAATTATTAACTTAGGTACAAAATTAGTAAGCTTTTAAGTATGTTTGGTGCTTAAAGTATCACTTCTAGTTCATCAATTTAGCCAAAAGCTAACTGCTCCGATTGGTCTTACAAGTCTTAAATACTAAAAGTGAAATACCCAAAAATCTTAAAAGGTTCTGGTTAAAAGGTTTTTAATATAGTTTTGCATCAAAAACTACTATAAGTTTTATAAGTAAAACTTCCAATTTATATGAATGCAGAAAATGAATGTATAGTTTATACGAATGCAGAAAACTTAAATACCAAAAACTGAAGTTTTTAAGTTTCATATAACAGTATTGTGGATGGAAAAAAAAGGTCACATACAGACAGACACATGTCATCGTAAAAATAGTAAAAACGTGCTGTGGCGACCCGAATATGTGCTTTTTCACTGAAACCTCATTATCAAACTTTCGTATGGAAAACATTACCTCCCTTATTTATTCATATGGGCTTGGCAGGGAGTAGAAATAGTGAGGACCTATAGTGGTCAAGTTCATATACATTTCTTGGCTCAAAGTCCCACTACTGTAAACCCGCTCTTATGGACTGCAAGTGCCACTTCCAGTTATTCAGTTTTACCTAAAACCTAATCAATCTCTTCATACGAATGAAGAAAGCTTAAAATATGGAAAATGGAAATTTTTGTAAGTTTCATTAAGATTTAACATGATCCAAAAAATAAATAATCACACACACAGATTTCATTGTAAAAATAGTAAAAACATATTGCGAGGGCTCTAATTTATTCACTAAAAACTCACTATTGAATTTTGGGACTGAAAACATTACCTTCTTTATCAATATATACAGGTTGGCAGATGGTTAAAATATTAATATAAAATAGTTTTTACTTTACAGCAACTTTAAATCATACATATTTGACACTTCTAAGCTAAATTTAAATTCCTTAATTATTTAATTGAAAATAATACATGGAACTAAAATATGTCTAAAGATATTTATTAGCAATCTTAATAAAGAAATTACAAATATACACATATAATTAAATTATATATAAAGTCCATTTTTATTGTTTAACAGAGGCTGCCTTTTTTTCATCTTCTAGAACTGGAGGACGTGATAAAACAGCATCTATTAAACCAAATTCTTTAGCTTGCTCTGGAGTCATAAATCGATCACGTTCCACGCTTTGTTCTAAAATAAAACATTTACACTTAATGCATTAACAAATAATACATCTCTTTTCAAAAGTCTCAGTTATAGCCCAAATTGAGTGAAGATTTTTATCTTTTTCTAATTTTCCTTACTTTTTGGCCAGTATTTAGTAAGTTTTGATTAAGCATGTTGAAATTCAGTTTTAATAAATTAAGTCTTATTACAATAAATTTCTTACTTTAATTAAAATCATTTAATTTTTTTTAAATTTTTCAAAATTAAAATTAATTTTATTTCGAAAACATTTTTGATTTTTTACAATCCTTAATGTTTTACAATAATAATATGTATAATAATATGTAATTATTTTTTCAACAATATGTAACCTTAATAATATGTAACCATTTTTTCACATTATGTTACAGTTAGCATTTTGACAAATTTTTACACATTTTTACAATACTTCACAGTTAGCAAAAAAGTTTTTGCAACAAAACACACATTTTAATTACTAAAAGTTTACAGAATAGGTTTTTTAAAATAGATCTAACAGATAGCAGCTTTACACTCAACTTTACCTTTTATAGCGCCCTGTATTTATTTCGTTAGAAGAAATACACTACTTAACCTAGCTTAGTTTGGCATGCTGCTCCACTCTCAAAATACAAATATAGTTGGTAAGTTAACCAACTTAACTTACCAACTATATTTAAAACCACCAACTTATTTTTTACTTGCTTTTTTAGTATTATTTTAGTATTATTTATGTATTTTTTATAAATAGTATCTAGTTTCTTTATGATTTTTTTGCATAATACGTGTTGGGGAAGTTTTTTGTAGGCAAGAGTTTCTGAATTACTTTGGTTTCCTAAAAAATTTAGTTTTGTACTCTTAATTGACTTTAATTATTCTAGTCTTTACTTGCTAATTTCTCTAAATTCCACTTGTTCCTTTTAGTAATTCACAACATTTGGTTTTACTTTTGGTTTTGAATTTTCCTTTTATCCTTGCCTACATGGATGACGAAACACGAATTGAATAACTGAAGAGTTAGCTTTCGAGGCAACTTCCCCTAGGTAAGTCTGTCTCCTGCCTACTCAACAATTATTCACTTATGTATTTTATAAATTTTTAGGATTAAAAAATTTATTGGAATTATACATTATACATTTATTATATTCATAGATTTTAATACTTGCACTTGATTTACACATGCTCTCAGAATTTAAATGATATTGTAGATTAATTCACAGCAATATTTAATTTTTTTTTTTTTTTGTTTGTTTTTTTTTTTTTTTTGTAATTCAATTTCATTTAAAATTTACTTAACTTTAAATTTGCTTTTTATGAACTGATATAAAGAAACATATACTTGAGATTCTATAGAAAAATTAATGTGCCAAAATTGGTACTTAAATATTTTCTTGTCAAATGGTACTTAAATACTTTCTTCTCAGCCATTTGTAACAAATAAAAGTTGTTGCCAAACAATGCAGAAATCACAGCAACACTATAACACAGTCATAAGGTATTTCTTGAAATTTTATAACCCTGACACTCAGGAATCCAGTTTAGTTTTAGTAAATGAATGTGAAGAGAAGTTAACTGCTATTTCTCAGTTTTCTCTCGCATTTTATAAAAAAATGATTAAAATTCGGGATCTGCTTTGAACTGAAGAGCAAACAATTGCAATATTTTTGAAGTTATCGGACTGGCTATACTGATGGGCATACTCAAAATATAAATTTATAGGCATACTCAAAATATTAATATTTGATTCATCCAACTAGCACATTAAAAGATAATGCAGGATCATGCGTCACTGCTTAGATTTAAGTGAATTTATTCTGATTCACATTCATGATGAAGGGACAATTATTTGTTGCTATTTAAATAACACTAGATTGATGGTTGTTGATAGTTGATCAAAGGGGAACAAAAAAGTGTATTATGTATAAGTTATTAAGCTTTATATAATAGTAAATACATTTACTGAGTGAAAGAAGAAGTCCTCGGATAAAATTTAGAAAGATTAACAATCTGGAGCAACAATGAAATTTTGTACACCTTAAAAGAACATTGAGGTAAATGTTAAGGATGATTATGATAATGATAAGGTAAAATTAGCAGAATCTAAGAAAATAATGAATTATTTAATACAAAGATGATTAACCCCTTCGCGCCGACTGTCACGTATACGTGCCAGCAACGAACACACTTACCTACTGGCCGACACGCAGGCGTGCCAGAGGATGTTCCATTCTCTACCGACTGTCACGTATTTGTGCCAGTACTTTGGAACGTTTTTCAAACTATAATTTCTGCCACAAGATGGCACTGTATGTCCATATGGTTTCAGATACATGTACATTAGACCTTCTACTCGGAATGAGAGAAGCATGACTCACATACACGTGTTTTTGATTATATAAACAAATGGGGAAATAAATGTTTCGAATGGCGTGATTTATGACGTCTCTTTAAATCGCACTTTATTCGCACGTGGTAGTTGTTTACTGTAAGTAGAGAAGTTTTATTTGCTCTAAAGCGTTGGGTATTTCGGTTTGCAGTTCAGTTTTTAGAAAATAATTAAATCTTGTTAGACGTGAATTCTTTGTTTTTACCGTTGCAATGTCGAAGCATCGAAAATGTTTAACAGAGCATGAAATAGCAGAAATGATGCAAAATATTTCAGATATTGATTCTGAAATTCTGATATTGATTCTGAAAGATTAACTGAAAGACATTTTCCAAAACTTTGTTCAGAAGAGACTGATAAGAAAATGAGACGACGATGCTTCGTTTGTTCACATTCCCGGAAAAATCCTCCAAAACGGCAAATGAGTTATTACGAGTGCAAGGAATGTAATGTAGGACTATGTGTAGATCCCTGTTTTCAAATTTTTTCATACGAAAAAAGAATTTTAAGTAATATATTTAGTTTTCAGATGTATAATGTTAAAATTCATAAAATGGTGAGTAATTAAAATAAAATGTGTAAAATATGCATTTAAACAAGAAATAAGGTAATTAAAGTATATATATATAAATATCTATAAAGCATAAGCCGTTTAAATACTCTATAGAGCATTATTAAACAATGCATTGATACTTTGGAAATTTTCATGGATTTAGGCTTAGTAGCAAAAAAGCCCCCGGCCCTGGAGAGACGTTCGCGTAAGACACTGCCGGCCTCAGCGATAAGCGCGCGTTTTCGCTACCCGCCTCGAAGGGGTTAATTAAAGCAGAAATGTTGTTGGCAATTTAACTTTGCAAGTATACTGTCTTCTGTACCAACTAAAAAACATTTTTTGAGAACTTTCAAAAACTATAATAATGCTCTTTAAAACAAAAGATAATAGAAAAGTAAGGAAAGGAAACAAAAGATAATAGAAAAGTAAGGAAAGGAAACAAAAACACACATCATCTATGGATAAAAAAAATGAAATCAAAATTCAAAGCATATCAAAAATTTATTTGTTTGTAAACAAGGAGGATTTACAGATTTTAATTTAAGTTATTCACTAAACTACAGAATTTTTTATGGATATAATACATCTTAATGAAACCTAATTGAACTGAAAAAGTTACTTGGATGATTTTTACAAAAGCAAAATGAAGCATATGAACTGCAGATAAAAATACTATGATATGGCTGATTTACTTGTTTCCTTTCTGAATACACAAATCATATTCACTGATGAAAATTTTTTTTAAATGTTTAATTTGGCCAATGTACAGCAAGATACTCTGAAAATATGAAGTCTTAAAGAAATTTACAGCTGAAACATGGTCTTCAAGGAAGAACTGCACAGTTCATTAAGGTAGTAAATACTGAAGGTTAAGTAAAGTATGCATGTTTAACCTCATTTTATTTCTCCTGCCCAGCTTTCATTTACTTGCAATAAAAGAAGAAACACAGTTATGTTCCTGAAAAAACTGCTTTAAGTAATCTATGTACCTGTTTATTGTTTTCTTGGATTCTACTAACATATAAAGTTAATAAGAAGAAATTAAAATCATTAATCACTTCTAATTAGCTAGAATAATGGTTTGTATTCATAAGCAATGCATCAGATACCTTCTGTATACCTTAAATTTTCTTGCAATAAATGGCAATTTTAATAGAAGACATGAAATTTTATAGTTTAGCTTTTACAAGGAACAACTGCTTTACAGACCACCATGAAATTTAATCTAAAATTTTTGTTCAGTGCATCCTTTACCTTTGTCATAACATTTTAATCTAATGAACTCATCTCTCTAGTTATGCAAAGACCCTGTATGTGCCTTCTTACAGTAGGCACACAGACTGATACCGTTATGTACTCTTTCCAGCATTTAAGATATAACCAATGCAAAAATCTCACAAGTTGTATATTCTGGTTGACCACTGATTATGCAAATACTGCTTGGTATCTTGCTTACTAAGAATATCCAACAGCAAGTCACCTAAAGTCATGACACTTCATTATGTTAAACAATATCTGTAAAAATAATGAATAGGCAAAGGGACTAGCACAATACTCTGTAGGTAAAGCAGGTATCTAAGTATACATACTTCTATTTTTAGCTTGACTCAGATGTTGTTTACTGTTATTGCTGGTTGCAGAAGTAGCTATAATCATATTACAGAAGAGGTAGATTAAATAAGGAAAAATGTGTTATTAATATATGAAAACTATAATGGCATATTATTTTTAAATGGAGGAAAACCTTCAGATTGGTGAAGGTGAAGTAGCATTGAAGGAGTTCATTCCAGCAATCAACAGCCGAACTATGTACAATTATGACTAGTCCATCTGAAGAAGGAGAAAAAATGAAGGGATTTGGTCCTTTTATCAAATTCATTCGATGATTTTGCAATACATTTATACATTATGACAAATTAATGTGATAATTTCATAATTCATTTATACATTACAGAAAATTATTTTTGCCTCTTATCATCGAAATGATGCATGCATCAAAGCAAAAAGTTATTTTTTAAAAAAAAAATTAATTTTTCACTATTTGGTTGAAATTTCTGGGAGAAAAGT